GCTTTGGTACATTTGCTCTGAAACATCTTCAACAAATGTTTAAAAGTTGGGAAGTTAGAGCCAGTGCTCAAAAGACAGTAACATGGTAGGAAAGTGCCATTGAAATTTAATGGCTCTTACCAACTTTAGGTATTAGTTTTGCACCAAAACTTTTAGACCTGTTGTGAGTATTCTGTGACACTTGGCTGAATGCCAGCAGTGCCCATAATATGCAAACTGGATCATTTCTTACAAAAAATGTTGCCTTTACACACACAAGGCCATTGTATAAGCCAGTGGTTCTCAACCTGGGGTCCGGGGCCCGCTGGGGGAGCGGCACGAGCAGGTTTCAGGGGGTTTGCCAAATGGGGCCAGTGGTAGACTCACTGGGGCCCAGGGCAGAAAGCCGATGCCCCGCCGCATGGGTCTGAAGCCCAGGGCCCTGAACCTCATCACTCGGGGTGGAAGCCAAAGCCTGAGCAATATAGCTTTGTGGGGGTGCCCTGTGGTGTGAGGCCCCAAGCAACTGCCCTGTTTGCTACCCCCTAACGCTGGCCCTGGCTTTTATATGCAGAAAAACAGTTGTTGTGGCACAGGTGGACCATGGAGTTTTTATAGCATGTTGAGTAGGCCTCCGAAAGAAAAAGGTTGAGATCCCCTGGTATAAGCAGCATATAACACAGAATCTGGCATAGTTGTTGACTCAGTTTGCTCACTAGGACTGCTTTTTTGAAGCTAATTTTGAAGCTTTTCACCAGAAAACTGTCTCACAATCTGCTTTTCAGAATATGGATAACAAAATTGATAAATTTAATTACTGGGGGTAAATATTTAGCCATCATTTGATACCTGGAAGTATAAAGCAAAGACTTGGACCAAAAAGTGACAGAGATGTAGGAGGAGGAAACAGAAGTTAAAGCAGAAGAGAAGCAAGAGATGGCTTGCAGATGCAAAGGTCTTGCTAGAACTGGGGTTCTAGGGTCTTGTGATGAGGCTTTCCCTTTCAAGGTTTTGAGAGAAACATGTGTATTTCCATTGTGATGTAAAACTTTCCTAGTAAGAACCATTTTCTATCTGAGTACTGTCTTGTGTTTAAATATATTTCTTTCCCTCCACCCTCAGATTTGCCTGTGCTATCTGGAATCCTTAGAGTGATTTTTATCTCCTATTTTGGTTGTCAGGTGAAGAAACTTTTCCCCCCTACTTCTGCCTAGAAGCAATATCAGCATGCTTTTCCTTATACTTGCTCTTGAAGGAGATGTACAGTAGCAATTTAAAATACCTGATTTGACATGTAAATGAAGCAAAATGTTATATGGCTAGTGGCATCTTAAAGACTAGAGTTTTTTTCTGACAAGGAGGTAAAACTAAAACTGTCTTAAATTTCTTCTGCATGGAAACAGTAAGTGGGGAAAAACAAGGTTTCTGTAGGGATGTTGCCAAAGGACATTTCCCACAGTTTTACTTTAAGACATATTTTCTTTGATCAAGTCCGTTCAGACTTTTCCCCCACCCCTTACATGCAGCGGCCCACTAGGTACTTTGTTTCTGTTGTCTGTGGTGCTTAACAGTGACAGGGAGCAAACTACACTAATTTGATTTCTCTAATAAAAATTCTATAAAAACAATTCTAGGAGATTGCTAACACATCGTGCAGAGTGCTTCTCTAGCTAGAAAGGGTCACTGTACATATGGGTAGGGCAAAAGGAGATGGCATTGTATAAGTATAAGCACTGAAGGACAGGCAATAGACAAGTGTGAGGTCATTGTGGCCCCCAGGAAGTAATGCCAAAATGTTCTCTCTCACTTGTCTGTCTTTACTATTCCTCTTTCATTGACACACAGCCAAGCACTCTGCTCAAGGCAGACTGGAGTCTTGTTTGGCTTGCCCATCTCTACTGTTATGGTCACAACAGCAGGGCTTTTTTTTAAAAATGTGCTGTGGGAAATGTCAGTGCCACAGATACATTCATCACTTTAAAATATTCTGTTTATTAATGTAAAAAAATTAAAACAAGATTCGGTACTTGGGCTGAATTGCTACTTCAGTGTTTCTTAATTTGTCAGAGGGAAAGCACACTATTAATGTCTGTCACAAGTTATCCAGGGAAAGAGAGTTAACACTCCCTACTTAATTCCTTCATATTTTAAAACACAAAACACCATTCTAAGTAGTTAGGGTTGCTACACACATAACCTACCTGGCTCAAACCCACAAAAGCGAGGAAATGAAAAGTTAGGTTACTTAACAGAACTTACCCTCTATACTTTCTCTCTTCTCCCTCCCCCCGGAATGATCCTACTGTTCTCACAATTTACTGTACACTGCAAGTTTAACTCTGCCTCCAATTCTCCACTCCACACACCTCATTGCAAAATTAACCACTGCTAACACTGTTAGTAGTGGATGTTTGGTCTAGCTATGTGTTGTGTTGGTGGTCAACCTGTGGAACTCCTTGCCAGAGGATGTTGTGAAGGCCAAGACTATAATAGGGTTAAAAAAAGAACTAGATAAATTTATTGAGGATAGGTCCATCAATGGTTATTAGCCAGGATGGGCAGGAATGGTGTCCTAGCCTCTGTTTGCCAGAAGCTGGGAATGGGTGACAGG